TTCCTCCTAGCCTCCTGCCTACCATTCAGAGGGTCCTACTGGGCTTCCCAGAAAAGACTCCAGCAGGTTCTTCCCTGGCACACTTGTATTCTTCTGCTCCCACCAGATGAGCCGTGTTCACATAGACTCAACCATGTTCCCAAACCTGTTTATATCAATTGCTTTGTAATCACATAAAATATTCAAATAGTACACAAACCCATGAAATAGAGCACAAAAAGAGTTGTTAGCTGATTTTACAAAAATGAAGCTGAATGCTTTGGAAAGACTCAATAAAGGCAAGTAGCCAAGAAAAAAACTTCTGGCAAATTAGGTGTGGATGAGACAACTGTAAATGATTAAGGACAAAAATAACAAAAATCTAGAATCATTCTGCACTCGGATTGCTTTGCAAATGTCTTTAAATTCTCACTCCACTTTAAAGAAACCCAGATGGAAATCTCAGATAATGCTTATAGGTGTGCTCTTCACAAGGAAGACAATCAGGGGTTCATGCTCAAAGAAAAGTCGTTGGCCCCACGTCGAAAAATTGGTGAGTGAATGTACATGTGTTTTAAGTTAAAAATAAACTGTTAAAGGTGTGTGTGTATTATTTCTGCTTTAACCTACTTTTGTAATTAATGATCCTGATCAATTTTCTACTTTATTTCTTTTAACAAAAGATAATTATTAATTTATTCATTCAATATTCAACAAATATTCATTCAGCATCAGCTGGGTAGTGATTTAGATGTGGGCTACACAAACTCTGTCCTGTCTTATCAACACCATGAAGTTTAATACTTATGATCCAAGCCTGGCCTCTTCTCCTCTTCCTTCTCCTCCTGTCCCTCTGCCCTCCTCCCCCTGTTTCTTATCTTCTTCTTCCTTCCCCTCTTTCTCCTCCTCCTCCACCCCATTTCTTGGTCACGGACATAGGGACACAGATTGACCCCATGACCCTTCCCAATTAACACATATTTCCCTACCCCTGAGGGAAGTCTCAGTTTTCACTGATCAATCATCACTCAAATATTACTATTTGGGACATTCTCTTTCTCACACTTACAAACATACTTTCTCAACCCATTTCTTTCTTTCTTTCTATATTCAGGATCTTTTTCAGTTGCCCCAAAACAGCCACCTTTCTCTTTCTTATTTCCTCAATCCCTTCTGGTTGTATTTCTAAGCAAACTAGCTGACAGGCATTACAGCAATACACTTTTACTGAAGCGTATATCGAGGAAAAGAAAAGCCTTACGTTTCCAAAGACTAAAACCAAACACTTGACCTAGGGGCATCAACCTGTAACACCCTGAAAATGATCAAGAACTGTCCTTCATCAGATCTATAAAAATCACCATCTAACTCTGTAATCTTTCTAATTACATCTGCATGTCTTCAAAAACTATTCAAAATAAGAATCACTAAATCAATTTTATTTCCTGCCAATTCAACCACTTATTTGGCTTTTTTCAATAGTTTTGTTTTCATCTATGTTTTCATTTCAAACACAAAATATGTCAACAATACTAAAACACTCCTCGAGGTCAAGGAAGAGCCCTGACCAAGCCAACTGGCTCTAGAGACTTCGCTGGCTGGCCATGGTAGGTAGCTATCATCACCTGTTTATATGACTTCTAGGGAGAAAATTGTGTCTCCTTCCCTAATGTGAACACACACATAAAGATGTAACTGTGCATACAACAAGAGGTGCGCAATTTGGAGCAAGATTTTAAGAAATATAAACACTTCTATATCATTTAGTGCTGTTTCCTCTCTAATTTGTAACAGGTGACAAACATTCCTTACTCTAGACTTGACTCATACTTGGGTCCAAAAGGATTTTACTTGCCCTGCATTTTGCATGGCATCCAGAGCTTGCCCAAGGTTCAATGACAGCTCGCTAACCAACTCCATTAAGTATACAAATCTTATGTCTCTTCTGCTGGCTTAACTGTGATTCTCTTTATTACTACAGACTCTGAGCAGGGCCGAGACACTCTTGCTACGTTAACAATCAGGGCTTCTCCATCTCTTTAATAAGGAGAAAGCTGGCCTTCTGTTTCTCTGTGGGGATTTTTAAACTAAATCTCTCCATATCAGAATTGTGAATCCCCTTAAAAGTTTTTTCCTCTCAGGGATTATCTTAGCAGCTAACTTCTAATCTTGCCCTGTTTTCTGTACAGGTAGAGAAATCCTCCAACTTTTCCAACTGATCTTTATGCATTTGGTTGCCTTGATAAATATTAAAAAGCCCTTAATTTGTGTGTGTGTGTGTGTGTGTATGTGTTTCTCATCTACCAATTTTACCAAAGACCTCTCACTCATAAGGTAACCATAGCCCTTTCCCCAGAACATTTTGAAAAGCATTCAAACAAAAGACACTCTAGTCTTGGGGGTTTTTTCAGGTTAAAATATATGTGCATGGCCCTAGAAGCAGAATGTAGAATGGTTTATGAGTGCCTGGCTTATGAAGAAGGAGACTTGATGGAAATCTCCCGCTGAGCGCTCCCAAAGAATCACCTCTACTCAGAACTCATATTTTCCTTCCCAGTCCTTACAGCAGGACTCAGAGAAATGTCCTGCTGAGCAGCCCTGTTCAAACAACCCCTTCAGCAGGACGCTGATCCTGCAGGCCTGTCACGATTTCCTGAGTTCCGCCCAGAGGGCAGCAAGACCACATCTAGCTTTCCACTACTCCCGTCCTGCTAATTTCTAATCTGTAGGCAATTTCTCCAAAATAATGCACAGCGTGGAGGTAAGCCCACCAGGCCTTCCTTGAAAGGAGATGGCCTCCATACCACAGATCATTACCGGAGGTTAACTGTCTGCAGGAGCATCAATTAAAATTCCAAGACATCAAAAAAAAAACTTCGCAAAAGGGACTTCTCCAAATGAACGCCCTTCCCGTGCAGTCTGGGTGCACACATTTTTGAGGGTCTTCAGTACTTGTAGGAGCCTTTCTGATAGCAGCCACACTTATACTTGCTTACCACATGGTGAACCCACGTTTGGTCATCCACTGCTCTTTTCAATCAAGTTCAATATCTGACTGGAGCCGCCACTTCTCTGTGCCGCATTGGGTCCTAGTGTTCAAATAACCTGTGGTCCTGAAGTGACCCAGTGGTACAGCTGCATTTCTCACTCCCCTGCGGTTTTACAGCAGTATGTTAGAGCTCCCACACATAGGATGCATATTTCATGTCTTGAACTATCTTTCAAATTATTTTCTAAACTATGGTTAAAAAAATGCACACACGCTACTTTAGATTAGATACCACATATCAGCCCTAAAGAGTCTTGGGCTGCCTTGTTAACAGCTGGATTTTGCAGAGGCCTCAGAATGGAGCTTTTCCTGCCTTCTCTGATGCTTGTGAATGCCATCGATGAAGAAGGTTGAAGCTCTGCGTGGGTGTTTGGACTTCAGGTCTGCACATGTCCATTCAAGTAAAATTATACAAGCAACCACAGACTAAAGCTCACACACTCTCGATTAAATGCCAGGCATAGGCCCAAGAGCATCTGCCTGGCAAATGCTCTAGCCTTGATCAGGCAATCACATGTGGCACCATCCTAATAACACATTATATAGACCATTTTACTATTTATTGTAAGTCCTGGGCATTTGGGGCTGGTTGTATAGCTATGAAAAAAAAAAAAAAAACTACAAGATATCCTTAGTGATCCAAGTTTGAAACAAAAAGTTCTTCCTTTCCCTCTTTTTCAATTCTGAATCAACTTATTTAAAGAGGATCCTGAGATTGCAAGATGAGCTCCACCAAAGAACTGTTACCAACTGAATTACTTACCTGTGTGGATCAAGATTTTCTTAACACTGTGCAGCTAAAACAGGTCACAGAATAAACGAGATGCTGAGGCCAATGTATAAGCTCTCATCCATAAATCCTGATTTCCAATGTTGGAGTTTAACAGAACAGACTCATTTATCTCATAAGGTTTAAATATTACAAATTTGAACTTATAAAATAAATTTATCTTAATAGAATACTGCCATTGGCTATTTTATATAATGAGATTTTACATAGGATTTTGATTAAAGAATTTTTAAAAGGGTCTATTAGTTTAAAGAAAAGTTGGAAAACAGCCTCAGCCACGTGGACTACGGTTCCCGAGAACAGAGCCCCTCTCCTGACTCTGCCCTAGAGGAAAGTGGCCCCCAGGAGTTACGCTCTCTGAGCAACAGTTTTCTTTGTGTGCGTGTGTGAGGAAGACTGGTGCTGAGCTAACATCCGTTGCCAATCTTCCTCTTTTTGCTCGAGGAAGATTGTCGCTGAGCTAATATCTGTGCCAATCTTTCTCTATTTTTTTGTATGTGAGACGCTGCCCCAGCACAGCTTGATGAGCAGTGTGTAGGTCCATGCCAGGGATCTGAACCCGCAAACCCCTGGCTGCCAAAGCCGACAGTGCAAACTTAATGACTTGGCCACAGGGCCAGCCCCTGAGCAATGATTTTCTGATCTACAAAACAGAGGTAATACTATTTCTTCTATGGACTGCCCATGGTTGATATTAGGATCAAATGAAATATGCAGATGAAAGACATAGATGTTTTCAGCAGAAGGGAGCACAGAGGTCACCTTTTAAGTATAGCAGATCAATTAAGTCAAAATCTGTGGGGATGCAGCCAGAGAACAATATTTTTTCAAGTTCTTCAGATAATTCCATTGTGCAACTAGGATAAATATCCACTGATCCAGTAACACCTTTATTAAAAAAAAAAAAAATCTGAGGCCTAGAGGACTCCTAGCAAATAGCAGGGCACAGCCTAGAAACCAAGCCACTTGGATCTCAGTCAAAGCACCTCCTTGCACAGGACACAGATCCCTAGGCCTCGGTGGCCTTTGTGAATAGCAAACTTATTCACATATGTGCATAGTCTATCAAAAATGTCAGTGAGAGGCAGACCCTCAAGGCTGGTTACTAAAAGAAACTATATAGTAAAACAAATATCAAATTTCTTATTCTCCTATTTTCTTTTTAAAAGGTTTTCTACTGACCTGAAAGACTCCATGAAACGGGGAACAACCATGATGCTGGGGGTCCCAGGTAAAGCAAGGGCTCCTCGGAGATGTTGCCAATTTTCTGCAGATGAGAGTGGTGTTCAAATCCTACAGAAGGAAAAACAATGCTATTTTTAGCATCATTTTCTTAGAAAGATTCTAGAGCTTAAGTCAGCCAATGAAACCAGAAGTGAGCAAATGGAAGACACTGAAACAAAAATGCCACTACCCATTTATGGTAACCAGATTTTCAAACTGAAATCTGATTATGTATGAGTATGAGGTAGCAAATTTACTGGACACTCAGTACAGTGACTGTTCCACAGAAGATGTTCAATAAATTACTATTAGTATAATGACCTCTGACTCCAAGCTAATAGCAGAATTGGCATTAGGCAAACCCGCACTGGAAATCTAGCTCCATCTGTTAAAGGCTACTAGACCACAGGAAACTCATTTCACCCTTGTGTGTCTCGGTTTCCCCAGCTGTACAGTAGAGGTAAAAATACTGCTTAACAATAAAAATAGATGGCATACTGATATACGCTACAACATGGATGAGCTCTGAAAACATCATCCTACATAAAAGAAGCCAGACACAAAAGGCCACATATATTGTATGATCCCATTCATAGGAAATGTCCAGAAAAAGCAAATCTATAGAGACAGAAAGTATATTAGTGGTTGCCAGGGTCGGGGGGTGGAGAGGGGTCATGGGGAGGGTAAAATGTTTCCTCCTGGGGTGACAAAAATGTTCTAAAGTTAGATTGTGGTGATGGTTGCACAACCCTGTGAGTATCCTAAAAGCCATTGACTTGTACGCTCTAAATTGGTGAAGTGAATGGTACATGAATTACATCTCAACTGTTTAAAAATTGTTTAAACTGTTTAAAAAATACTGCCTACAGGGGCTGGCCTGGTGGCACAGCAGTTAAGTTTGTGCGTTCTGCTTCAGCGGCCCAGGGCTTGCCGGTTCGGATCCCGGGTGCGGACATGGCACCACGTGGCAAGCCATGCTGTGGTAGGCGTCCCACATATAAAGTAGAGGAAGATGGGCATGGATGTTAGCTCAGGGCCAGTCTTCCTCAGCAAAAAGAGGAGGATTGGAAGCAGATGTTAGCTCAGGGCTAATCTTCCTCAAAAAAAAAAAATAATAATACTGCCTACAGAACTGCTGCAGGTCATGAAGATTAAATGAATGGACACATGTATATGCTTAGTCCAGCACTAGAGTAGAGTGACCCGCAATAACAAGTAGCTCTGATGATACTGATGAAAGAAGAGGTGAAGCAACACTTAAAATGTGTTATCATAGTAAAAACAGGAAGGTAAAACCCCTTGCCAACAAATCCTGCCTTATTCAGAGGCCCTCACTAAACAGAATTTCTAAACATTGTCAAGCGAGGCAGCAGTTTCAAAAGTCAATTATAAATAGCATCAAAAATCGGGGGATGGGAGAGTTGGTTGGAACATAATGTAACTTGAGAAGAAAAACCATGGGCCAGCCTCCTCTCCTCCCGCACCGCCTTTCAGGGAAAGACAAACAAACGAAGCAAGTTTTCAAGGTGTGCCCAGGGGTCCTCTCTAATAAAGCCAGAGTTTTCCACAAGCATTGATTTCCGAAGTCTTCCCAGGACTTCAGATTTCCTCTCCCTAGAAATGGGGGATGGAGAGACAAATTGTAACCATTTAAGAAAAGACAATCATGAGAATCAGAAAATTCCATTTGCAGGGGAGAATAATCAAGATTTCAAAAGTTACCACAAGTCCTTGCTAGGGGTTATTAAGAAAGTAAAGCCTCTTAATTGTAATCACCCCTAATTAGCCATCAGCAACTCATGAAACTACTCATGGTATTGAAGACCCTTAGAGTCTTGGGTCTCAGCCAGAAGTTACACTGAGATACACCAGGAAGAAAGCCAACAAGTGCAAATTGGAATAGTCAATACTCCTCTGAATCCGAGGTGCGGGCTTCCTGCTCTTGGCTGGGGAGCAGGTATGCACAAAGACGGGATTTAAGTCGGGAGTCACGGGAAATCTCTGCCAAGCTCCTGATAACGATCAACTAATCAGTAACTATTTGTTCAATACATGGTGCTATGCGATTCAAGAGAAGGATGAGTCCAGACAGGGTCTCACTTTACGATCTAGCTTCGGTGGATAAAGATGTAGGGACATGTTGTTGTCTGGTGAAAAGGATGGTGTTATCCGGAACAACACAGGGTAGATGGTGTTTCATAGAGACCCTAAGTACAAATCGAGCTAGTTCAAGAGAAGGAGAATCCTTCTGGGCGGGCATCAGCAAGGAAGATGGGACTTAAAACCAGCCCTTAGCCTACACAGGCTACAGATGAACAAGCAAGAGGAGTTGGTAAGAGTACACACTGTAATCCAAAAGACCTGGGTCTGAGACCAACATCCCCATTTATTAACCAGATGACCCTTGGCAATTAACCCTTTTATCTTTCAATTTCCTCACCTGTAAAGTGAGGATGATGTTTGGGGCCAGCCTGGTGGGGTAATGGTTAAGTTCTCACACTCTGCTTCAGCGGCCCAGGGTTCACAGGCCCAGATCCTGGGTGTGGACCCAGCACCATTAGTCAAACTATGCTGTGGCGGCATCCCACATAAAACAGAGGAAGATTGGCCCAGATGTTAGCTCAGGGCCAATCTTCCGCCCCTCCAAAAAAAACCCACACACACACAAATGGGGACACTGTTTGTAACCACCTCATAGGGTTGTTGGGACTATTAAATATTTATTGAGATTGCATGACCTGGGTGCTAGACACACACCACAGCAGGCCTCTGCTGTGTGGTCCCTGCCCTCAAGGAAATTACAGCCTAGATGCTAGAGGGCTATACACTTTAAACAAACTGAAACACATACAGGTATAAAAATAAAACTGTGATAAAAGTCATTAAAGAAAGTCCAAGGTGCCTCAAAAAGCATCCTAGGCAGGGGCCAGCCCAGTGGCATAGCGGTTTAGTTCGCAGCTCCACTTCGGCAGCCCGGGGTTCACCGGTTTGCATCCCAAGTCCGGACCTATGCACCACTTGTCAAGTCATGCTGTGGCAGGCATCCCAGATATAATGTAGAGGAAGATGGGCACAGATGTTAGCTCAGGGCCAGTCTTCCTCAGCAAAAAGAGGAGGATTGGTGGCGGATGTTAGCTCAGAGCTAATCTTCCTGAAAAAAAAATAAATATCCTAGGCAGTGGTCAGAGAAGGTCCCTCTGAGAAGTGACTTTCATTCTGGGGCTTGACAGGGGAGCTGGAGTCAGCCAGCGGAGGAGGGCAGGGGGCATCCCAGGGAAGGGGAATCACAGGTGTAAAGGTGTGCGAGGAGCTGGGAGGAAGGAGGAGGCAGTGTGGTGGGAAGACAGCAAAGGAAGGAGGACATGGGGAGAGGTTACCCTCCACTGAGAGGTAAAACTCCCAGAGTATGGTAAAGGAATGGCTGAGGAGGACAAGGGAAAGCGAGGTGCCAAAGACGCCTCCCTACAGATTTCCAGCGGATGGAGGTGGCAAAGGAGGGGCTAGCGGAGCTTTTCTGGTTTTGCCAGAAAGGAAGGGCAATGTTGAGGGAGGTATTTGTGACGGAAAGCAGCGGTCTCCAAATCTGACAAGAAGTCACCCAGAAAAGCATCTTAAATTATCAAAACATTTTGAAAATAGATTTACAGCTGCTGCAGATAACCATGAACCTCGTCCTCTGTGAGTATTTTGCCTTCGGATATTTGCTGATAATAAAATGAAGCCATCATGATTAGTACGTCATTTTAAAATATGGCTTCTTTCATCTTTATCTCATCCTTTTAAATTTATATTTCAAATATATGTTTTATGTGGTCACATCATAAACTGATAGGTTAAAAAAATAACCAAACATAGATTGGAGTAATACGCTCAAACATTTTTTACTGATGGGGTGTGCAATCCAAAAAAAAAATTTTGGAGGCCACTAATCTAGAATGTTTTTTGACCAACTTCTTGTCAGCTTCAATGAGTCACTCTTTTCTCAGGATGTGGGTGACGAGCCTGTCCCAGCTCTGCCATTTCCTCAGTGCTCGCTTGTGCTTCCATGATCAGGACTGTGGTAAATCGGCTCTGCTTTTCAAACTGTGGGTCATGACCCATGAGTCTGTCATCAAATCAATTTCACGGGTCATGACCTACACTTTTTTTAATGAAATAGAAAAGAATGAGAGAAGAGAAAATTCTAGTGTTACTATGCACAGTAAGGCTAAGTACTTCTTACTGTGGCTCAGTCAGAAAGTTTAAAATCGGGAAGACCAGATTCTAACTGTGATGGGAGGAATACCACCGTGAAGACGACGCAAGGCCATGTTATCCAAGCCCTTGAAAAACGGCGCCAGGAGGATTTTGAGGAGATGGGCAAGAAAGAGCCATTTAGGTTCTGGAGTAGGGAGGGGCCTAATGAAAGTGAGGTTTCCGGAAAATGCGTTTGGCAACAGAGCACCAGGCAAGCTGGCTGAGTAAACAGGCTATCTGTGGAGCCGTGTCCGCCTTTTGAGGTTTGCTGCTGTTGATTTATAACCTTTCTTGACAGTGAACAAAAAAATCGAACAATCTAGTTTCTGTTAGAACATACACTCCCTGGGGGATGGAGGCCCCACCTCTCCTTTCCACAAAGATCCTACAGGAAGGCTGATTCGGTTCAGGCCAAAGTCACAGTCCCCACATACCAGGAGGAAGTGGCAGGGGGCTCCAAGGCTCAGGACAGCGGGGACACAAAGAAGGACTGGGATGAATCTAACCCAGGCCAGAAGATGGCTCCCCTCACCCCAGAAGATGCCACTGTGCGCTGGACAACCACGCTATTCTGCTACCCCTTACCCATAGGCCCACCTCTGAGTATCTTTCCCGCCCCTTCTCCTCACGGCCTGACAGAGCTTCTGGAAGACCCTGCCTGATTTCAGCCTACATCCTAGACGAGAAGGATCTGCTCAGCCTCTCATGTCTGGGTTCAGGAATGGCCCACTTCGAGGCCACATCCCAACTACAGGCGCCGGTTCCACCTCCCTCTCTCCCACACACAGGCTTCTCCCTCTGGAACTCCCACAATGTACAGTAACCACCCAGAC